GTCACCTCACCCACACCAGCAAGCAGGAAGCCCGTGATGGTATCCTGTGTGTCGGGGGGGGTGGGGGGGGTAGGGGGGGTGGGGGGGGTGGGGAGAGGAGGGAATGTGGTGAGTGCGCGTGACATGGCAGGGTACCCTCCTTCCTGGGGAGGGGGGCATGGGTATGGGCATGGGGGGGAGGGGAGGGGGAGGAGGGGGGCATGTGGACATAGCGTACTTCGTCACCAATGATGGCCACAAGCTGGCCAGACTGGACCTTGCTCTGCCGAGACGACATGCTTCTTCAGTGATGCCTACGCGAGACGGGTGACCGTCGCCGTCGCCGCCGCCGACTCGTCGCCATCGCTGTCTGCTGTCGTCGCCGGTCTCCGCTCCACTACCACGTCGGCAAAGAATGACCTATTCTTGGAGGCCACATCATCGTCCCGACAAAAGTTACGAGCTACAGGCGGACACGGCCAGTCTGGCGGTGCCATGACCATCACGCATGCCGCGCATGTATCTCAACAAACCCGGTTGTGCTCCGCCAGTGGTCATCATCGCGCCATGGATCACAAGCCACATGCCATCACCATCATGGTGGAGAGCGTGTCCGTCAGCAAGTCGACCAAACAGCGATGCAAGCTCACGGTCAAACACCATCCAGTCGCTACCATACCATCCTGCATCAAGTACAACCATACATAGATAGAGCCACAGGCACCGCCAGGCAAACGCAGCCATCGCACTCTCGATCTTACCCATCTCCCGAGATGATGTCCCATGGAACATCATCTTTGCTTCTTGCTGATCAGGCGATCTACCGTCTGCCAAACTATGGCCACCTCTCAGGTCACGATCCCACCTCTCCTGCCGCCCCTTCACCCGCCATCCGCACTCTTCACCTCTCCAGTGGGCCATCTATCTCTATGCTGCACCCGTGACTCGAATATCCGTTCCGATGGTGGCCGAGAGGCCGTTTCTCTCCTGGAGCAGCCACCGCTGATCGGTCGCGTGTGCCACTCGCGACACGGCGCGGGACGGCAGTGGTGGAGGCCAGTATGCAGTACACAGTCGACTCTACAGAGACACGTAGACACAACACAAAGGTACATCATGATGGGTATGTGGCGGACTGGGATGTATGCAGTGCTGGTGGTGGCGGTGGTGCTGCTGGCGGGGACGGAGGCCGGGCGGTGGTCGGTGGACCGGTCGGCGCGGTGTGCGGTGTGCGGGCTGGTGGTGCAGACAGCCATGACCTCTGCGGCCGATCTGCACGACTCGACCAGCTACAGGCAGCCCGAGTACTTGTTCATGGCCATGTTTGAGGAGGCGTGCGCGCCAGACTCGGCTGCCTCTCGTTGGGCCCGCCAGACCGAGCTCGTCATCGACGACTCGCAGGAGGATGCCGGCCCGCTCCTCGACCTCATCGTCCATCCTGAGGAGGAGTCCATGTGCGGGCCGGTGTGCGAGATGCTGCTCCGCGCCTGCAACCACGTTGTTGAAGAGGTTCTTGACGATCCCGAGCTGGGCACAAAGCTTTGGTCGTCCAGCTCGTACGCGCTCCGCGCTCAGCTCTCGGCCATGACCCGCGCCCTCTGCATCGATGTCTGTCCCGACCCGCCGCTCTCCCTGAGCCAGCGCGCAAAGGTCGACGACCTCATCGCGGCTGATCCGTGGTCACCGCTCGACCCGCACATGGCTGCCACCATCGACTCGCTCCACCATCTGGATCTTTAACCGGCCAGCCGCGTCTTGCGCGTGCGTTCACACCAACGTCCGGTCTGGCCCGGCCCACATCATCAGCGGCGCATCAAACAGTCGCCGCGGCAGCCGTCGGCCCGGCTTTGACGTTGCGCGCGGCTTTGGCTTGGTCTGACTCTGCGCGGCGGCGAGCTTGTCCTGCGCGGCAGTGAGCCTTTTCCGGACCTTTTCCAGCTCCCGCGCGGCCTCGGCCCGCTCGATCAGGAGCTGCTCCGCCCAAACGCAAGGCACGTTCTCGTCGGCGGCAACTCGCGCGGCTACGGCAGTCGTGAGTTCCTCGCCGCAGAGCTTGGGTGTCTCCTCGGGCGTCGGCACCTCTCGCACGATGCGGTGCATCCGGAAGAATGGAAGCTTGTTGAGGCCCGCTAGCTGGATGCGGAGCGGGGCCTTGTGTCCCTCGGTGCTAGCCGGGCGCTTTTCGATCTTGATGTGGAGCCGCTGAATTCGCCGCTGCTTGCCTCGCGCAGCGAGCGAGCCGTCGCCCGCCTCGCGACGACGGCTCGCCAGCTCGGTCTTGACCATCTCCAGCCGGCTCGCCAACGCCGCCGCCTGCGAGGCATTTCCGCGGTCGGTAGCGTTGCCAAGCTTGAGCTTGAGCCCCTGCGCCATTCGCTCCAGCCGGAACGGGCAGGCGCGCTGGATGCGTGCCATAAACGGCTCGACAGTGCACTGCATCTTCACCCGCCGGGTCGGATAGAGAGTCCGCTCCGCCGGCGGCGACGCACGCTCGTGCTCGGCCCGCCGCTTCTGCAGCTCGGCGTCGATGAGCTCAAGCTGGGCCTCCAGATGCACCACCCGCGGGTCAAAGCCTGCATCGACAGCGCGGTTGACCGCCCTGCTCTTGCTTGCCATCATCCGCTGCAGCGTCGCCTCGTCGGCCGTCGCCATCAACGCCCGCAACTTGGGATAGCTCTCACTCTCGCTCTCACTGTTCATCGCCATTCTTGTCTCACTGTCCTGCAACTGTACTGTGCTCTGACTTGCGTTTGCCGCTGTCGACAACCTTCTTGCTCGGGTTTTGTCGCTGCCGCACCTAAAAAGAAAGTTGGCGACGTCGCACTTGCCGCGTCTGTCGCGACCAAGGGAGGGGGGGAAGGAGCGCAGAGCTGCCGCGATTGCACCTCGCCGAGGGCAGGGCAGGCGTTCAACCCTTCTACCGACTTGGGACTAACTCCAACTGCTGACGCCCAGCACAGCGGCTGATCAGGACAAGCTGCACAACTGCATTCTGTGCTTTCCTCCCTCCTTTGGCCCTCCTTCGCACATGGTGTTCTCGCCGCAAATCGGACGCGTCGTCACAAGCCGAACAACGACGGCGCAAGCGGCTTTGCCCGCCGGAGCACTGCGCTCAGTTGGTAGGAGAGAGTATGGGCGAGTGGCCGGGGACTCGGGTTGGCGGCGTCGTGGTTGCTGCGCTTTACTTTGGCTACCGCCTGCTGTATGTGGTGCTCGGCTGGCGCCGGTTGCGGGGCGAGGCGGCAGCCGCTCGGCGCACGGGCGACATCGCCGCCGTCCATCGCCGATTCGGGCTTCTTCCCTGGGCCGTCCATGTTGTTCATGACGGGCGCTTGGCGAGGAGCTCGGCGAGGCGGACATACGGCGCGATAGCTGCCCGTAATCACGCTCGGTCAGGCTCGGGCTTGTCGTCGGGCTCGTACTCGTCCGAAACGGCGTCTGCTTCTCCTCGGCCGGACGAGCTCGAGTCGTCGGTTACGAACTCAAGCTCAGGATCGAGGAGCGAGCATGTGCTCACAATCTCATCGGCTGGCGCTTGTGGCGGACTACGCCGGCATGCGCTTGTCGCCAACCGTCGACACGACGTGGCGAGTGTGTTTGAGCCGATGTCGTGCGGGCTGGCGAGCCACGCGGTGGCCGAGGCTGTGGTGGCGAGCATGGCTCTGCACTTTGTGCCGTGTCTGTGGTGGACGTGCGATCTGGGCAAAGGCGACGAGGGCCAAGTCCGCGGCAGCATCTGGATCGTTTCGGCACTGGTCCTCTTGATTACCTTCGTGATCCCGATCCCCGGCATCCGGCAGCGCGGCTCATACGTCGAGACCGAGTACGGGCGGGTGTGGACAGCTGTCTCGGCAGACGAGCTGGCTATCTCGACTGCTCGGCTGCCGGCGTGAGTCCAGAGGACGTTTGATCGTTTGCTGCAAGCTACAACGCCGCTCAATGGCGGTCAAACGGCGACATGATGCCGCCCGGGCACTTGCGCAGAGTGCACATGTCAGGCGTGGAAAAGGCATCGGCAGGCTGCGGTCCGACGGTAAAGTCGTGGAACTCCATCATGTGGAAGGGCTGGAAGATGCCGACAGCGATCGAGTCCTCTATCGAGGTGGCGTTGGCGGCCATGACATAGTAGTTGAGCTGGTTGGCCTGCATGGTCCACACATCGGCCGGCACCCCGTCCCACTCCTGCGACCCGGCGTAGTCAAAGCCATCCAGCCACGTGTTGGCCACATTACCGGTGTTGTTGATCAGGCAGCAGTGCGAGTCCACCATGAGGAAGACCGCGTTGGGAACCGGGAAGGCGTGCGAGCCGAGCATGAGCAGGGTGCAGTCGGCCGTAGCCGGATCCATGTCCAACGCGCCAGCATAGACGGCGCACACGCCGACTTCTGCCGTCTTCATCCGCATGGCCCAACCGTTCGAACCGGCCGCAAAGGCATACTGCATAAAGCCCTCGGTCGTCGCATTCGTCCCGTCCTTGCCTGTCACAGTGTATGTGTACGGCGCTGAAAAGCCGACGCTCGGCCACGAGGGATGCAACGGCTCGCCCACGCTCCGCCCTGCTGCTCCCGCCACCAGCGCCAACAGCACCACCACCACCAGGCCCGTGCCCATTCTTGCTATCATTCTCTCCCTTTCTGCTGCGTTGGCGTGAGGTGTGCATCTCTGTTGGCCGTCCCGTGCTTGCTCTGTCACGTGTGGGTGGTGGGCCCGTTGCCCCAATTTGGAGGGGGGAAAAGACGCGCTGGACGGGCTGCAGAGCACGTGATCGGCCCAAAAAAAGTGAACTTCCACCTCTCAGTCACCCAACACCCGCAAGAGCCTCCCGCACAAGAAGCAACGCAAGTACGGGCGCAACTGTTCGTCATCGCCCACCCACCAAAAGCCCGCGGGACTCAAGTTTACCACCGACGGCGGCTCGTCAGTGTCGCATGCTTATGCGCGGCTACTCGAGAATGTGCATCTCTTGGTAATGCACTTTGCAATCGGTGTGTTGCGCCTGGCCACTCCCGCAAGCAAGCCAGGCGAGCTTGGCGCTCAATCGCGGCCAAGAAGCCAGGCAAGGGCCGCGACCAACAGCGCAACAGCAAGCCAGACTACCTGCCAGACTGTGCGGGTCGCAACGTGTGCTGGGGCCGGCGCCGGACGCTCGCCGCAGACCGACCACTTGGAGGCCGAGACGATGCGGGCAACGTCACGGGTGCCGAGCTGGTAGTCATCGGGTGAGAGGAGGACTTGGACGTAGGCTCGGGTGTGGCCAACAAGCGAATGGCCGTCAGCAGCCATCTCGGTAATCCACACGTCGACTTCCTCGCCGACCAGCTCGTCAAAGGTGGCGTACGAGCGGAAGAGGGCCGAGATCTTGCGCGACCGCGCCTTGACCTCCTGACTCCGGACCTTGCGCATCTTGGCAGCAGGCGTGCCCGGGCGCGGGTAGAACTGCGAGATGTTGACGACTGGGAAACGAAAGCCGTCAACGAGGGCACAGGTGGCGTCAAACTCGGCCTCGGTCTCGGTTGGAAAGCCGCAGATGACGTCGGTGGCGATCATGATGTCTGGCGCCGCCGCCCGCAGCGTGCGGCAGACGTGCTCAAACTGCTCCACCGTGTACTCGCGCTTCATGGCGTCAAGGACCCGGTTCGCGCCGGCCTGCACCGGAACGTGGATGAACTGGTACATGTTCTTGTGGCCAAAGATCTCACCCATCGCCTCCAGATGGTCAAGGATGTATGGCGGGTTGGTCATGCCAAGCTTGACCATGACATCGTCGTGGTCCTCGACGGCTGCAAGCACGCCGCGGAGCAGCTCCGGCAGTGACGTCCCGATGTCGCGTCCGTACGCTCCGGTGTCTTCGGACGTCAGCCGGATCTCCTTCACGCCCTCAGCCTCGACCACGTGCCGGACTCGATCGATGATGTCCAGCGGATGGTACGATGCCAGCCGCCCCCGTGCTCCCTTGGTCTTGCAGTAAGTGCATGCGTTGAGGCACCCGGTGTTGATGGGCACAATCTCGATGAGCGCGTTGCGCCGAATCTTGGGCAGCGCCAGCCGCGGGCGCGAGTCGCCGGCAGGACCCGACCGCCGCCCCAGCCGGCGCACAACCTTGCCGGCTAGCGTGGCGTCTACAACGTCGACAATAGCGTCAATCTGCTCCACCCCCACCGCAGAGTGCCCCGACCACACGCCGCCGTCTGGATCCGCCTGCGGCACGCACCCCGCCACCACCACCGGCAGCCCGGCAGACGCTAGCGCGGTGACCTGATTGGCAAACGTCTGTTGCGACGGGTTCTTCACCGTGCACGAGTTGATGACCACCACATCTGCGCTCTCGGCTTCCCGCCCCACCTCGTACCCTCCGGCCTCCAGCAGCCCAGCCATGTACTCAGAGTCGGACGCGTTGTGGCCACACCCGTACGTCTGCACAAACACCTTTTTGCGCTGCCCACGCCGGACTACCACCTCGACCGCCACTTCCTCGCGACTGTGCCCATCGTGCCTGTCGTACCCGTCGTGCCCACCATGCCCCTCAACGCCATCATCGCCCCGCCCATCGCCCATCACCAGGTCCTCGATGTCTGCAGCCATCTCTGTTGCGTCGTCGGCCCAGCCCAGGCCAGTGACACCATCAGCAAGCCGCACCATCCCCAGCCCACCGTCGCCGCCACCATCCCCATCACCATCCCGCAGCATCCTCTCCAGCCCTTGGTCGCCATGGCCATCACCGCCATCCCCCTGCCCAGCCATCCCTCCACTCACGGCCTCGTCCACTTGCATGCCCACCAGCACCAGCTCTTGCACACCACAGCCAGCCAGTCAACCAGCTCCTCGCCAACTACAACCTCACCACCGTGTGCGATGGTCAAGTGTACGCCCGAATGTGACTGAGTCGTCCCCTGCGGAGAGCTGCATGGCCATCCCGGTCTCTCCCTCCGACTGCCCACCGAAGCCCGTCGAATGTCCCCGCCAAGCCCGCGAGCGTATCGGGTGATGTGAGAAGGGCATGTGGATATGGAAGAGACACAACACGCATGATGATGTCTTTAGGCCGTATGGGCAGCATTGATCAGATTGCGTGTGCATGATGTGCGCATGCTGTGTGTGTGTGTCTGTTGCGCGCCCATCAGTGTGGCACCGATCAGTGCGGCACCGAGGGAGCGAGGGGGTACATACACAACCGCGCACACAACCGCGCACACCGCACTCAACTCTATCTCGACAAACTTATGGACCGTCTTGGTGTTGTGCCTGGTGTGGCACTAGCTACGGCTTCAGTGTCGGTGGTGGCGGCTGGACTCACGTGGCTCGTCACCAATTTCGAGCTCAAGCGGCGGACAGCAAAGGGCGCCGCTGGCGGCGATGGCGGTGACGGCGGTGATGGCGCTGGCGCAGGGCCTGGTGTCGGAGCAGTGGCGTTTGATGGAGACGTTGCAGGTTCGAGTGATGCCATGATTGAGACTGTGGTCGAGACTGCGGCCGAGACAGCGGCCGAGATCGAGGCGGAGACCGAGACCGAGACCGAGGCCGAGACCGAGATCGAAGACGATGAAGAGGACGATGAAGAGTATGACGACGACGAGTACGGATCCGAGTACGCCGAAGAGCACAAGATGGTGCTGGTCGTCAACGCGTCCCTCAAGATGAAGCCGGGCAAGGTGGCGGCACAGTGCGTGCATGCGGCGCTGGGCGCGGCCCGGGAGG